CTCGGAAACCCTATACAGGGTCGCTATGGGTCGGAACCGACTTGATGGCACATAACAACAACAACAACAAGATGCACCTGTGGCCCTAATGATTTTGTCCTGTCTCCTCTTTCACAAATGTCCTTCTCCTGATTGACAAAGGCATGTGACAATGGTTAGGGAATTATTCATTTTTATTTGTTATTGAGATATGTTTTATATTTTCTTAGAGATAAATCTGTTTGGGAAGAAGTACAGCTGGATTGCTCCTTAGGAACGTCATCAATGATGAGACATCATCTCTTATACTTGTGGACATGCTATCATGAAGAATTCACCCCTGGAGACCAAGTAGAGGATCAACAAAAGAGAGGAAGCCCCCCAGTGAGATGGATGGACACAGTGGCAGCAATAATGGGCTCAAACAGAACAACTGTGAGGACGGAACAGGACTGGGCAGTGTCTGCTCTGTCATAGGGTTACTATAGTTGGAACGGACACACCTAACAACAACAGAGATGCATAATTAAGTGTTACAGAAGAAATGAGATGATTGGGGTTTACTTCAAAATAATCAAGAAAGTGGATGTGGATGAAGAAGGACTGGCTGTGGATTGATGGCTGTTGGAATGAGGCATAGGTACAGGATATATTTATTCTGTCTAATTTTGTGTATTTTGGCAATGTTCTATTGGAAAAACCCCCAGAGAATTAAACAGTATAACTGAAGGCTTATTATAGGTAGTTTCTAACTTATGATGTAATCTGGTTATAAAGAACTCCAATTCTACCCAACTGTTTTTTAAAACGATTTCTGTGTTGGTTTTTATTTTTTTAAATGTATGCATATATTGATATGTATGTATAAGTTTGAGTATGTTTCAATCTCCAAAGATGATGATGACTGTTATTATAAAAATACTGACAAGAAGAAGCAGTAACAAAGAAAACAAAGAAAGTGAGGTATTTGATTACCTCAGACCTGGCTTACAGTGGAGTTGTAGGAATGGAACCCTGATGATTCCACACAGAAAGCTCATTCTGGAAAAAGCCCGCATCTTCCATTACTCATTTCCCCTTCTCTAAAAAGCTCCAAATACCTCAATGAGTCTAAGAAGAGGAGGATGATAAATGCTGTTTTAAATTCTCAAAGAATATTAGGAAGTCCAGTGGAATTACTCTAGAAAAATAATTCTAGAAACTCTAGAAAAGAAACAGCATATAATTACATAAAATTCTTAGTAACAAATGGGATAAGTAACGTATTGTGGGGGTTGCAACTAATGACAAGTAACAAAACGTATATTATAGAATATAAAACTGATTTGCTCTGTAAACCTTTACCCAACTCACAATAAAAAGTAACAACAACAAAAGATTCTGAGTAACAGAATGACTTGGTCAATGCGGCTGAAATACCAGGTAAGACAGGCCTAGGGCTCTAAGTATCCCTTTCCAGGCTTAAAAGAACTATTTCAGGTAATTGTATCAGAAATCTAAAAAAAAAAAAAAAAAAAAAAACCTATCTAATGAATCACAAAACCAATGGCACACTACAATAAGTTCCTGTGAGTAAAAGAACATGAAATATAAAAATACCCACTAATTTCCAAAATGGCATGACATTTCTAACTATAGTCTGAATGTCTTTCATCTCTTCCTCTTTGTTGGTGTTAAGAGCTGTTGAGTTGGTTCCAACCCACAGTAACCCAGTATAGGGTTTTCAAGGAGTGGCTGGTGACCTTGAACCACCGACCTTGCAGTTCAAACTGACTTTGTAGTCCAATGCATTAACCCATAGCACCACACCAGGATTTTTATTTCCATCACAGTAAGCAAGGGGCTCTGGTAGTGTAGTGGTTATGGACCGGGTTGCTAACCTCCAAGTCAGTAGTTCGAGACTACCAATGGCTTCACGAGAGAAAGATGAGGCTTTCTGCTCCCATAAAGAATTACAGCCTCAAAAACCCTATTTAGGGTCACTAAGAGTTGGAACTGATTCCACGGCATCGGCACTTAACTACCACCACCACAGAAAGTGTGAGACGATTCTCTCATCTACTTGGTAAGGGAGGTTCTAGAGTAATGAGAAACACTTCAGACTTACTCATGGGGATTAAAAACACTTTTATTTGGGGGAAATCATTCTTGAAAGTGAAGAAAAACAAAAACCCAGACAATGTGAAGGGAAAATGGCAGATAGGAGTGACTTAAAAAAACAAAAGAAAACTAGTCAGAAACAAAAACTGAGCAGAACACAATGAAAAAGACAAGGTTTGGAGAGTGATCAGGAATTCCTGTCACTGTGATCTAGCTTTTCCGGGCTTTCTTAATGCAAACCTAGGCTCCTGGCATTTCTCTGCTGCCCACTCTACAAGGTATCCAGGAAACACTGTATCTGTGCTGTCCAATAGAGAAGCCACAGGTAACATGGGGCAATGAGACCCTGAAATGTGGCAGGTCCAAATAGAGATGTGTTGTATGTGTAAATTAGACTTTAAAAGATTAAGCATTTTTTTTTTAAGATTAACTATTTCTACATATTTTATTAGTTACATGCTAAAGTAAAATTTTGAACACATCTTCAAATGCTTCTCAGCTTCTCCCAAGAGAAACACTAAAAACAAGAGACTCACCAATATACTCTTCTAGGTCAATGAAACCATCAGCATTCTTATCAATGTCCTCCATTGTCTCCTAACCAGAAGGAACAAGAAGAGGTTACTAAAGTTAGTCTCTGAGAGAGTTTGCCACAAAGAATAAGAATGTGGCAACTCTTTTTAGGCAAGTATTTATCAGATGCATTGAACAAGGGAAAAAAAAAAAAAGTGTACAGCTGGTTAAGCCATAGGAAATTGCTACTTTCCTAGCTGAACAATAGTAAAGTGTTAACAATTTCAACCTAAAATAACCACCAGTCTTCTGAGAGGAACCCCATACCAAACTAACCCATCAAGTCCATGGTCAAGCGAAAGTCACACTAACAGGAGATGTGGCCAGTGAGTTCGTCTACAGTTCTAGTCTAGGTTACAGCTTTCCATGAGAATTCTTCCGTATTCCCACTCAGTAACCAATGGTCACAGGGGACTGTAAATAAACAGGATTCCCTCATGTTTACAATATGAAGCCATTAATGAAGAGGCCAATTATCAGATGGAAAGCATTAAATGTGCTCTGTGGAAAAGGGTGAGGCTCTTAAGAAATTACTTGCTCAAGGTCACAAAAAGCAGAGGGACAGAGCTGGGACTCTGCATTGCAAAGTCATTCTTCCAAAGACCCGGGAAAGGTGAAGAGGAAAGATATTGTAAGCAAAAGAAAAGACTTCCATTCCTGTTTGACACTCATTTTCACCCACCTGCACGACAATGTCTTTCATGTAGTCGTACTCCTCAGGGTGCAGGAAAGCTGTGAACTCCTCCTTGGTGGCAATGAGGTCTCCATCCTTGTCTGCCATCTTAAACCTCCGCTCATCTCTAACCATCATCTGTTTATAGTTAAACCCATCATCCGGATCTGGATCATCTAGGCAACAAAAACACAGATCAGATAGGTCAGATCTTAAGAGACTCTCAACAAAACATGAAAGGTGTTGGCAGGTGAATCAATTTGTTTTCTAAGAAAGATAAACTAAGAAAAGAGATAATCATTTAAAGTAAATGATTTAAAAATTCATTATAATTAGGTTTTAATTTACTCTTGTCTCTGGAGATTTTTAAACAGGGACGAATTAGGTTCAATGTCAATGTCCACTGAGTTATTTTTATGTGACTTGTATGATGCTGGCAGGTCCTACCTCAGCTCTGCAATAATATCTACCTGAGTTTGCATTCTGCAGCTTTCTTTGCATATGTTCTCCAGCTGAGGAGGCAGGGACAGAATATTCTAGTTTTGCTTGTTCCAAAGCAATCTTCAGGAAAGCCAGTTCATCCTTGCTCCCAAAGGGAAGGAGGATTCACTGTCACTGTAGCAAGTGACTTGGCTATTCTGTTAGAGAATGAGCACACACCACACTGAACCATGTTCACATTTGTTATCTCTTCTACTTTCCTATTAAATCTTCCCAACATGTAGCTTCATCTATGTCAAATCCAACACAAAACTATGTTCTTAACAGTGCAGTTTTGACGTTAAGCACGTTACAGTTACATCGTAGATCTGCAACCTCCCTGTTTCCAATGTCATTATGTCATGGGTTGTAGAGCACACCTACGTTGACACTGAACGTGTGCGGCCTAGTCGGATACTATTCTCTAATAATAATTTGGGCTTTTTGAATCCATCCATTTGTTGCAAGTCACTATAGTTCCTTAAATCTTAAGAGTTTCTCCAACAGCAGTGGTTCAGGTTAGCAGTTGATTCAAAGTCCCGTGGCCATGTCCCATCCCTTGAGAGGTGGCTGGCACTCTGCTGGGGCCAGGAAGAGCTACTTCTTGATTATGCAGGTTAAAACTGGAACAGTAGAGATATGCCATTTTCAAATGAAACTCCAGTAATCAGATCTCAGAGTCAGGACCAAGTGGAACATTTTTATCATTGAACATGGGGCCCTGCCTCCTGGCTTGTATAATCTAATATGTAGTGTTTCACTGTATTTGGTCATAAGGATGCTAGAGGGTTAGGGTTTGCCAATTTACATCTGGGAGACAGTGGTGGTTCTGAAGTCATTAGTGTTTGAATTTGAATCCTAACTACCAATTCCTAGCTGTGTGACTTTGGGCAAATAACTGTGGCACAGTCTCTTCATCTATAAAATGGGGGTAATGTTGTTGTGTGCTGTTGAGTTGGTTCCAACTCATAGCAACCCTATATACAGTTTCTGAGGAGCAACTGGTGTGTTTGAACTGCTGACCTTGCAGTGAGCAGTCCAGTGCTCATCCTATAGTGCTACAGCAGGACTCTGGGAAAGTTAACAGTGTTCGCCTTATAGGATTGTTGTGAGGCTTAAATGAGATAGTAAATCTAAGTGCTTAGAACAGTGTCTGACATAAATCAGTCAGGTTCCCATCAGGTCACTAGATACAAAGGCCTTCAATTCTGTGTTATGGTAGTGTGAATTCAAGCAACAGAACATTAGCACTTTGAAGGGTCACACTTTTTGCTTCAGCCAATCTAGAATATCTGCCATGAGTTAAAGGCGCTGTTGTTTTCCCATTTATGTAAAATTCTAGAAAATGCAAACTAATCTAGAGTTACAGGGAGTAGATCAAGGACGGGGCAAGGGGCGGGTGAGAGCAGACTTCTTGGGGTGAAGACCATATTCATTATGGAGACTGTAGTGATGACCTCATGGATTATCTATGTCCAAACTCACCAGTTGTACAAATGAAATACGCAGTTTACTGCGTATCAGTTAGTTGTACCTCAGTGAAGTTGTTTAAAAAAAGAAAAAGAAACATTATATAACAACAAACAGAACGAGGACCTTTCCATTGTTTTAAGATGTTCAACTACACAGGTGCCAATTATCTGCTTTCTATGCAGGACTTCAAAGACTGAAGTTTAGTTTCTTTTCCCTAAAAAGCTTGAATCCATTAACTGTAGAAAAGGAGCAAAAATACCTTTTCAACTTGAGTTGCTGTGTCGGCTAAATCAGGTAACAGATGTAAAGACAATTTGAAAAGTAAAAGGCAGCACATTAAAGGTCAGACATTATTGTTCCCACAACATACTGATCAGATGAAAAAAGAGATGGCATTCGTTTGCTACAGAGAACCATAGGCCCCTGAGTAACCCACGACACCGCTGACCTGTGATACTGTAGTCCAACTCTTCCATACTTTTAAGCAGAGTTTGGTTCTGCTCTTTAAAACCAGTACATTATTCTGAGAGTTAAAAAGCAGTTTGGAACTTCATTAAAGAAATAAAAATAAAACTTTAGAGAAATAAAGGCTGACTCAATAGGAAATAGGTTACACTGTTGCCGAGAGCCGTCGAGGTGGTTCTGACACATAGCGATGCACTATAGGGCTTCCAAGGTGGGTTTGCAGCACTGATCTTGTGGTTAGTAGTCTAGTGCTTATCCCACAGCACCACTCCACGACTCCATGTTAAACTAGCTCCTGGTAAATGTGAAATGAAGTTTCATTCTTGATGGAATGTAAAAAATTTAGTAAGACAGCATATTGAATCATGAGGTCTTGGGGCCCTATATGAGCCTGTACACTCTAACCATAATCCCTTGGAGACAGAGAATCGAAGGAAATCACCACCTTGTTCAGATACTAAGCCATCTCTTAAAAAAAGTTTTGGTATCAACTCTATAATAACATGACTAAGAAAAACAGTCGAAGGCAAGACTCGATTCTTAGTTAAGTGCCTCCCCTCTTTGGGGCAACATGGTCACTGCACTCAAGTAGCCCGAGAGTAACATGCTCACAAGTTACTTGCAGAGTAAACTTCCATGCCTCTCACACTCCTTGGAGGCCCTATTTAATCTGAACCTGTTCACTGCCCCAGCCCCTATACGTAGTTTCAGGTAGGTGCTTGAGCTAGGCAGAATGGATCATGGTCTTTCCTATTTTAACTGTGGCAAAAACAATGTTAATGCTATTCCTCTTTTGAAAAGCTGATTCACTGAGGCAGATTTTAATTAATAATCAAGATGATTTATACCTCAACTCAAACTTGAGTCAAGAACGTACACAAAAACCTTCTCTGAGCCAACTCCTCACACCCCGAGCACTGTCCAGGGAAAGCTGCCTTATAAAGACATGGCTTGTCCTGCCAGCCCTTTCGTTTAGGCAGTCTCACTCAGAAATGCACATTCCTTTGAATCATCTGCCCTGTGAGGCAACAGGGCTGTTCAGAGATTTTTATGCATATAATCCTACACAGATTTTAAGATTCGTTCTGGGCAGCATGTAAGCATCTAGGCCAGCAATGAAATTTATTAGCACATCATTTTGTTTAGATCACCCATAGTCGACCCTTGGCTTTAAGTTGATTCTTAATTCCAAATAAATCAGGAGGGCGGGGCTTAAGCCCGAGACAGCAGCCCTGCTGCCTCCCAGTGGCTCTGACTTTAAACACACATGTTCTTAATTGGAGGAAGGCTCTGTTTGGTTCTTGGCGAAGTGTCAAGCATTGAGAGAGCTCTACTTTAGTCTTAGGAATGAGAACAAGCTTGATACAGAAATAAAGCTCTTCAGAAATGCAGGGGGTGCTGTCATGATCTCGGACAGCTGGCCGTCCAGTGGGGGAGCAGACCACCGCACACAAGCAGTCAGCCAGAGGTGGAGAGTCCGCATGAATCCAGGAATGTGCCTCGCTTCCATGGTAAGAATGTCAAAAGTCCTATTTATACATTCTTGTTTCATAGTGTATGTATCCCAGTACAGTAGAGGGATAAGCCTAACAGAAACACCCTGGGCCATTAGCTCGGTAAGATCACCAACCAGTCAGTCTTCTAAGGAAAAGAAAATTACCAACAGGTGGTCCAAGCACACAAGCCACCAAACCAACACAATGCAATCAAAGTGACATTTATTTGCCTTGAAATATTTGTGAAACAGGCTGGTAGACTCATGTGCCAGAGAAAACAAATGGGAAATTTTGGATTCCAACCCTTAGTAAATAGACACTGACTGAGATAGCGAAGTGAGCTGACTTGACCTTTACATTTAATTAAGGCAAGGCAGTTATTTCCCTCTCACTCTCACTACTCAGAAAGGAATTGAATTCATTTAAATTTTAAGCCCAACACTTTCATGCCACCACATCAAGAGACATCTCAAAGCCTCTTGCTAGGTCTTACTGAATCTAGTGTAGGCTTTTAAAGATTGATTCCAAAAAGCATATCTATGAGGGGCAAAAAGGAAAAACGAAAACCCAGTAAAATACAGCTGAAATCCTAAAGCTGTAGAAGATGCAACACTTCAGAAAACCAAAATTCAAAATCACATGGTATACAAATTGAAATAAAAGCACGGGAATCAGCTCAGTATTCGACTATTTAAGGTAAGTACATTTCTTCCTTTCCTTCCCCCGTGTGACCCATTTGTTTCTTTGACTCAAGACCATGGTCTTTGCCAGGCGTGGACATCTCGCCCCTTACCCAGGTAAGTGCCATAAGTCACGTTTCTGTACTCATTCCAGGAGATTAAGCCGTCTTGATTCATATCAAACTCCTGCCATTGGGTTTCAACATTGTCATATATGTATTTCTTCTGCGCGTGATTAATCCAGGATTTCAGCTCCCCCTCCGTCACAAACCCATCTTTATCCGCGTCTATTTTATCTACAATCATTCTACAAGACAAAACAGTTACGTTTCAAGGTGCCGGCTCCATAAGGCTTTTTCCCCCAGGTACAAGGGACCTACCTAAAACGTAGCCGTAGGTGGCATTTTTATACTCCTCCCAGGAAACGAGGCCGTCCTCATTGAGGTCATGCCCCTTCCACTGCCGCTCTACATCCTCGTAAATCCAGCGCTTTTGGGCAAACTTAATCCAGTCTTTGAGCTCATCCACAGTGACAAACCCGTCCTTGTCGCCATCTATTTTACTTACAATCTTTCTGTAGAAAATGCAGAGAAATCCAGCAAGAGGTTAAGAGAACACAAGGCTCTTGACTTAGCCATGTGCATGCTGTAACCACAGGTACTGCTCAGGGCAAAAGCATTAGAAATTTTTAAAAAATTCAAAATCGCCTTAAAATGAAACTGGCAAGCAAGACAATGCAAATGTTCTTTCAAGTGGCCAGGGACTGGTCTATGACAGGCCACCTAGGTAGTGCAGGCTCCATCCATGCACGCCTGGTACACCTGGGCCTAAGAGTAAACTCCTCCTATTAGAGGTGGGTTTCAGCCCATGGTCAGAGTTCACTGTAGTGACTAGTTCCAGCTGGATTCTCCACTCTGGCACAAATACTATGGAAGCTGTTTCATTTTCCTTTATTGCTTTTAGAAGAGAATGCCAATTCATCAGTAAATAGTCACAATCACTGACGTGATTTTCTAAAAATTCATAATACTTAAATTAAACTTTAAAAAAAGGCAAAACTTGTTGAATGGAAAACAAATTTGCTCTGTGAACTTTACCCGAAGTGTAATAAAAATATAAATACAATGAAATTTTTTTTAACACTTTAAAAACATAGATATAAGAAACCGTTCTGGAATCACATATCTCATGGCAAGATTACTTGGAACAACAACAACAAAGGCCAGCAAAGGCAGGAGGATGCTTATTTAAAAACTTGTGAGTACTTTATAATACATGGAAATGCTGAGCTGGATTTTTACATATGAGCATGTAACAGAGAACTCAGGAAATGATGTGGTGAGAACGTATTGATTATCAGAATGTTAATAAGCTGAGAGGGTTAGCGTGCAGATGATAACGCAGAACAAGACAGCTACCGTACCAATACAAGTGCCAGACATACTATATACATTTACGTACTCTCCCTTTAGGAGTGTCTTTCTTTGAAATCTGTTCTCTTAATTTCAAAATATGGGCCTGATATAACCCCCTAGAACCAATTCAGAAAAGCGAAAACCACTTCTGAACTGTCAATCATACAAGTGGCCTGGTTCAGAACAGCAACTTTAAATCCAAACTTTCAAATTTCCATCGTGGCATTCTCCTATGCTCTGTGAAGTTGTAATATGAAAAGACTGTCATTTGGTAGCAGATAATGCCTCTCTCCTAGTTTGTGTCCACTTTATGACTCTAGCACGAGACAGTGACTAGAGCCAGAGTGCTAGTGGCACTGACAAGAGTCCACCCTGATAATGCCGAGGTTTCCGCCGTAATGTCCCCTTACCTAAATCTCTGACTAGTATTTTCCTTCAAAAAAATGTGTGCGTTGGTAGCTCTGGCTCTAACATGCGAGCAGAAAAGGTAAAACAGTAAGGAGGCATCTCCTGAGTGCCCTTCTCCAGCCACACGCCATAAGGACTTTTTGTGTGGTAAATTTAACCTTATAGTGTAACAATATAAACAAATTACATGATACCAGTATTAAAAATATCTGCACTTTCTATAACAGGATCCAGATTGTGCCTAAATGGTATTGGCTACCACAGTGCCACTGTATAATTAAGGAAAAAAGAAGCCCTCCCATCCTCAATTTTCTCAACTATTTCTCCACTCTCATAAATAGTCTAAAGAGGAGAGCCCAGAACTAAAAGGGCATATGACTGGCTCAATATGGGATTTCATAATGAATGTGGCCAAAGGCCATTCTACGTATTCCAACAGAAATATCACAAATGCTTTCATCAGGGATCGACTTTCTGTAAAGGGACATAGTAAATATTTTGGGCTTAGTGGGACACGTGATCTGTGGCATATTGTTCTTTAAAAAAAAAGCCACCTTCTTCTTTTGCTGGTCATCCAGCCTGCAGGAAGTTGTGATGTTCACTGGAAGTGGCCAAGTCCTATTTTAAGCATGGAGCTCAAAACACTGATTTCTTAAGGCCTGTGTAAGCACTGATGTTTATTCTGAGGGCGACAGGGAAATTTATGGATGGAATTGTTGTTAAGTGCTGTCAAGTCGATTCTGACTCACAGTGACTCTGTATAGGGTTTCCAGGGACTGGCTGGTGAGCTTGAACCACCAACCAGGAGGTTCAATCTGACTTTGCAGCCCAGTGCATTAACCCACAGCACCACATCAGATGTCACTAAATGAACATTGGGGACTACTAGTGCAGTGCTATAGGATCAGCACTGCAATGTGAACCATGAGGTCAGCAGTTCAATCCCATTAGCTGTTCTTTGGAAACCCTATATAGGGTCACAATGAGTAGGTACTGCCTCGACAGCACTTAACAACATCTGGGCCTGGTGTGGTCCTGTAGGATAAATACGAGCAAGGTTGGCAGTTCAAAACTACCAGCCACTCCTAGGAAACCCTATACAGGGTCATTATAAGCTAAAACTGCCTTGATGGCACTTAATAACAACAGCAAATGAGCATTTACTCAACGGTAGACACAATGTACTTAGTGGACCTTGGTTATTTCTCCTACATTTCTCTACCTTTCCAGTGGGATAAAGCAAAGCCTTCTGTTTTAATAAGAATCTATGTCAATAGGTGGGCTCCAGGAGGGTGCAGAAAACAATGACAATTTCAGCAAGAAAACTGTATCATGTTCTTATGTCTGCACGTCTTTGAGTGGCATCCTTAGCTCTCACTACACTCCAAAGGGGCTGAGCATGTGACTGACTATACAACCAAGTATCTCAGAGAGAGAGGGCTCCTTTTTGTAAAGCATCACCACCTCAAAACAAAGAAATATTCATATGAAGGACAGAGAAATGAAAATTCAGTATATTTGGACTACTTTGGTTTGTGTGTGTGTGTGTGTTGTGGGGAATGACAATACACATAGGAAAAAATGTCTGATTGGGCAACAATATTTACTAATCAGAAAAGGGAATTGAAAATTGGGTATAAAATTTATTTACAGAAATTCTTCCTTTGGTCTTTTAACTTTATCACTGAGTATCTGAAAATAGTAAAACTCTGCAAACTACAAGTATAAACCCTAATCTTATCTCAATTTTCTGCCTTTCACACAGAAGGAAAAATCAGCCATTCCCAACTCCTGGTGTATAATCATCTGCTAAAACAATATTAAAGAATGCCATGGTGAGTAAGTAGAAACCAGTTTGCATGGGAGTCTCGCTTCTAACAATATGTCCTTGTATAAACTAGGGCGATTTGTTACTATCTCCAAAATTTGGGAAAAGCAAACAGTACTTAGTTCATTGCTACATTTCGGGAAAAACATGATTTTTGTCATCTTATTCTAATCAAATTTAGGATCTGCTGCTCATGTGTTGAGTTTTTGATATTTACTGAATGACAAAAAAGGAACATTTTCTCTTTACTGAGAACTACTGGCAGAGCCATTCCATTACCAGCAAAGAGCCAAGAGCTCCTCATTCAAGTACCATCTACCCTAAATGACAACCGAGAAATTCTGTTAAGAGTTAAGTGCAGACCCCAAAATGGGCTGGACATGCATAAAATTAAGAGGCGCGACCTGAAGGCTGAAACAGCTGCCTGCATCCCTCTTCTCAGCCTGGAATGTTAGCATAGTTAAAGTAAGAGAGAACATAAGCTCTGAAAGTTAGAAAAGCAACTGAATGCAAGACTCAGTCTTTAATACTGTTATTAAAGTCTCTATATTTACATTCAAATGTTTGGGGAATGTTGCTCATTCTACATAGCAAAGTCTTTTCATTATTTCTGCCATATCAAAGAATTAAAATTGGGTTAATGTGCTGGACTGTAAAGTCGGTTTGATCTGTAAGGCTGGTGGTTCAAGCTTACCAGCCGCTCCTCGGAAATCCTATACATGGTTGCTATGGGTTGGAACCGACTTGATGGCACTAAACAACAATACTCACCTGCTAGCAGAGAAGCCACTGAAAGAATAAAACTTTTCCAAAGCCTTTCTCCAAACCAACCTAGTCACGGTGTCTTAGAAGCGCAGGACAGCTGGGCATTACTGCGCCTGAAGGCGAACATTGTGCAACTGTCCAAACAAATCACTTGAACACAGCTCAGTAAATTGTCCAAAGGTTCTTAGTGGAGGACACATTTTTCATGAAACTGATCTGTTTATCCTTAAAAATCAAGGTTTTGACAAAACCAAGAGATGCCCTCAGAACCCCAGGTTAGAACAATCAACTGGGACTTGATCATTCTTTCAGACTGTTGTCAGTTGCCATTGAGCAGATACTGACTCATGGCGACCCGAAATGTACAGAGTAGAACCTCTCCACCAACTAGATGGCACTTTAACAATAACAAGAAACTAGGGTTTCAAGGCTGTGATCTTTCAGAAGAAAATTACCAAGTCTTACTTCTAAGGCATCTTTGGGTGGGTTTGGTTAGTAATTTAGCATTTAAACATTAGTGTCATCCAGGGACTCCTCATTTTTATTAATAATCAGGGGGAGAGGAGCTACCTGTTGAAATACAGAGCCTGACCCTGGGCCAGCTGTTATTAAAACAGCAACTCTCACTCTGACATTAAGACTGTTGCTTGTACAGTCTCCTAAAAGGCAAGGTTTGTTCATTAATTAAGCAAATACATGAGAATGAATGCAAAAGGGTCAGGAACATGCTGGGAAATCATAAACTTTATAGAAATTATCCTGGGGGCCAATTTGCCATTTATTAGCCACAAAAAGACTTGGATTGGGTAATAATCAATAGGGAACAGATCGTTTTTAATAATTAACAGCAGCAGAGATGATAAATCTCACTCTGTCATGTTCTTTTGGGATCAAGATAATCCCAGCAGTCAAGTTGGGTCTTGTGGTGCTTTGTACTTTATGCAAAATGACTTTGCTTTGTAGACTGAGGTGCGAATTGTTACCCAATGGCAAAATGTTATGAAAGCAGGCTACCAATTACATTGTTAGCAATTCTGTGGTTAGCTTTCAGAAGATTCAGTTCATCACAGCTCAGCTGAGCAACTGAGCAGGAAGAGGTAAAAAGACTCTTGATAAAGAATGTACTACCCTAACCAGCCCCCTGCGACATAGCACCTTACCCAAGCCTTTCTTTGCTCTCTTCTGGCGTCAGCTGATCAAAGGTCTTTGCTTCTTCAGCACCCAGAAAAGCATCATGGTCATAATCAAAACTCTGAGCGTCATTGTGAACCTTGTCGCTGAGCTGAGGCTCATGGTGTACCCGGTCCTTCTTTTCTGTGGGCTTGCTTAAGGCAAAGGCTGTGCACAGGGACAGGCACATGAGAAATTGCCGCAGGTCCATGACAGTCAGATCTGAAAAAACATGAGGCAGTATGCTTCATATTTAAACCAAAACTTAAAAGCTAAATTTGATGTACAAATATCTATGCAAGTCATTTATATTTTCCCCCAATATTATTTCATCTATACAAAGATTATAGCCTATGGAACTCTATGGGCAGTTCTACCGTCCTGGAGTAGCTAAGAATGGGAACTGACTCAATGGCCCACAATAATAACAATATAAATTAGCATAGAATATCAAGACTCTCCAGTAATTACCTGGAAAAACTGCTACCACTTTATCTGCCTGTGTGCTGACTGAAAATTTGGTCAAAACGCCCACTTACTAAGTAGTCTCTCTTCATAAAACACCATAGCAGAACTTTAATCCATTCACCCAAGTTCATAAAACTTAAAAGTGGAAGGACCAGAATTAAAAATCCAGACCTGCTGACTTCTAATCTTTCACTCTATACTTCACATCAGTGGTTTGGTCTGCTAATCCAAACTAAATGTTAGCAGAAAACAGGTATTAAACAACTTTTCTTAATGGAATTTAAGGTTGACTTCCCGCATCTACAGCATTAAATGCTTCTCCAGAGATGATGATGACTATGAGATTAGGAATCACTGAAAACAGCAGCAGTTTCACTGGCCTATAGGCACCAAAGTGACCTCCCATTTAGGTAGTATGCAGGCTCAGCCTCAAACCACCGTCAAAGATCAAAACATTCAGACGGTCAGAGATGACAAATGCATTACCATTCTATATAGTAGTGTTTCCTAAACTTGTCTGCTCATAAGAACCACCAGGAGTCCTTACAAATACGGATTCCCAGGTTCTACTCCATACATATGTCAGATGGATCTTGGCTGAATGCAGAGGCTACCAGAAAGATGTTTACGTGTGTTTTACTGACTATACAAAGGTATCGACTGTGTAAACCATCATAACAAACACTGTTTAGAATGGGAATTTCAGAATATTGAACTGTGCTCATGCAGAATCTCTGTAGAGATTCTCTACAGACTAAGAGGCAGTCGTTAGAACAAGGAGACATACTGTTGTTGTTAGGTGCCATCAAGGTGATACCATCTCACAGTGACCCTATACACAACAGAACAAAACACTGCCTGATCCTTCGCCAATCTCACCATCGTTGCTACATTTGAGCCCATCGCTTCTTCCACTGGGCCAATCCATCTCATTGGGGGTCTTCCTCTTTTTTCTCTGACCCTCCATTTACCACACAGTGGTGTAGTGGTTATGAATTGTGCTGCAAGCCTCAGGATCAGCAGTTCAAAACTACCAGCTGTTCCGTGGGAGAAAGATGAGTCTTTCTGATCCCATAAAGATTCACAGCCTTGGAAATCGTATACAGGGCCGCTATGAGTCAGAACCGACTCCACGGCACATAACAACAACAATCTTTCTCCAGAGACTAGATCTTCCTGTCAATATGTCCAAAGTATGAGAGACGAAGTCTATCCATCCTGGCTTCCAACGAGCATTCCAACACAGTGGTTTGCTCTTTTGGCAGTCATTGATACTTTCAATATGCCCCTCCAACACCGTAACTCAAATGCATCAATTCTTCTATGGTCTTCCTTATTCACTGTCCAATTTTCGCAGGTATATGAAGTTACTAAAAATACCATGGCTTGGGTAAGGCACAGCTTAGTCCTCAAACTGACATCTATGCTCTTCAACACTTTAAAGAGGTCTTGTGCAGCATATTTGCCTAATGAATGTAATGTCTTTTGATTTCTTGACTGCTGCTTCCATGAGTATTGATGGCTGATCCAACGAAAATGAAGTTTTCAATAATTTCAATCTTTTCTCCATTTATATGGATGTTCTTTATTGGTCCAGTGTGAGGGTTTTTTGTTGTTGTTGTTTTTTACATTGAGGTGCAACACATATTGAAGGCTGTGGTGTTTTGATCTTCATCAGTAGGTATTTTAAAAAGTCCTCTTCGCTTTCAGCAAACAAAGTTCTATCATCTGCATATTACAGGTTGTTAATTGCAGACAGCAGCTTAACTTCCGTGTTTTGACACGGTTCCAGGGTTGGGGGGGGAAGAGACATCATGTACAGCAGATGACTCTCAAAAAGCTGGTCTCTATCTTCCCTTCAAGTTAACTCTGAATTCACTTGTAAAAATATAGAATATGGCCATATTCACAGCCTTTTACTGTGAGCTCTACAAACCTTGGAAAAAGGACAATTCTCTCAACTTCAGTAGCCTGAATTCAAAGAGAATTGTATAAATTACTCCCTTTCATAGAAATCCTAAGTACAAAGTAACTGCATTTGTGAGATCACAAAAGTAGATAACAAATTAAAGTCAAGCTGACCTACCCCTATAAACCTCACCACAATCAGTCACCAGCCAGAATTCAGAAACCCCTACAATCAATCACTTGCATAAATAAGCAGAAAATAATGAACTTAAGTGAAGGGTGGTTTTAACTTGATAATCTACATTCCCTGCAGCAATTAGCCAGGTTGGGCTTTATGCCACATAGCTTCCAAGAATACTTTAGAAAAATAAATAAGTAGATGTTAGTAATACTTTTTACTATGAAAACAGTAGTACATTATATAGAAGACAGATAATTAGTTAGTAGAAATAATACGGTAGTGCACGCATGGATGATTAATAGAAACTTACGTTACTAAGAAAATTTAATTAGGAGTTTGATAAGTAGAAATGATTTGTGTAAAGTCTGACTTAATCTTTTAGTGGAAACAAGAAGAAACAATTTATCACATACTGGGAAAGGAGATGAAGGTCAGTTTGAACATCGCAGAAATATTTTTGTCGAGGTTGTCTAATGACCAGGTGTAGAATTGTTGTGATAAACTGTAATAATTCAAGGAAAGATCAAAGTGTCAATTCAGTATGTACTGTGTAGTTTTAAGTATAAAAATAAAGACTTGCTGAGCCGGGCCAGAAGCACAGAGAAGGAGAAGCAGAAAGACAGAGACAGAAAGCCCAATCAGCCAAGCAGAGCCTCTCGATTGCTTTCATTTTCACTGACTCCGCGTTTCCTCTCGTGTCCGAGTGTCCGCGTCTCCTCTCGTGTCCCACGACCCTGTGTGAGCTGGACTCCCACAGTTAATGAGTCTTCCTACAATCTTGATACCATATTTTTCTTTATTTAATCCAGCTTTTCAAATTATTTGCTCTGCATACAGATTAAGTATGGTGAAATAATACAACCCTGGTGCACACCTTTCCTAATTTGGTGTTCCCTTGTACTGTTCTAATGACTGTAGTCTGTGTACAGGTTCCTCATGAGCACAATCAAGTATTCTGGAACATTTATTTTCCTTAACACTGTCCATAGCTTGTCATGACTCAGACAATCAAAAGCCTTTGTGTAGCCAATAAATCACAGGCAAACATCTTTCTGGTATTCTCTGCTTTCAGCCAAGATCCAGCTGATGTCAGCAATAATATCCCTCATTCCATGTCTTCTTCTAAATCTAGCTTGAACCTACACAAATTCTCTGTCAATGTATGGTTGCAGTCATTTCTGAATTATCTTTAGCAGAATTTTGCTTCATGGTATATTAATGATATAGTCTGATGATTTCCGCATTCCATTGGATCACCTCTTTGGAATGGACACTTAGCATAGATAAGTGCCTCCAGTGCTGCCTCAGTATGTTTGTGTTCCATCAATTCCCAGTGTCTTGTTCTTTGACAATGCCTTCAGTGCCCCTTGGACTTCTTCCTTCAGGATCATGGCCCTTGATCATACGCTACCTCTTCAAATGGTTGAACAGGAGATACTGAGGGATTTAAAAATCAGGAAAAGTTGTGCATCAAGGTTATTCATCAGCACACAGATTGAACAAGTAAAGTGACAAGACACAAACCTGCCACATACCTTTTCTAATTTTAAGCCAAGTAGTGTATCCCCTTGTTCTGGTCAAATAACTGCCTCTTGATACAAACACAATTAAGTGTTTAAGAATTCCCATTCTTTGAAATGTTATCCCTTAATTTGCTTTGAGCCACAAAGTCTAGTGCCTTTGTGTAGTTGAGAGAAATACAGGTAAACATCTTTCTTCTATTCTTTGCTTTCAATCAAGATCCATTGGGCATCAGCAATGATATCTCTCATTCCACATCTTTTCTGAATCTGGTTTGAACTTCTGGCAGTTCTCTGGATATATATGACTGTAGTCTTGCATTTATCTTCATATTGAAGATAAAATGAATTATCATGTCCTAAGAGTCCTGGTGCTGTGGGTTAATGTGCCAGACTGCAAAGCCGTTTTAACTGCTAGGTTGGTGGTTCAAGCTCACCAGCGGCTCCTCGAAAACTATACAGGGTCGCTATGGGTCAGAACTGACTCAATGGCACTTAACAACAATGATCTGCAGATAGGAGTCCTGGTATAGGGCTGCGGGCTAATGCGCTGGACTGTAAAGTTGTTCGAACCACAAGGTCAGTGGTTCAAACTCACCAGCTGCTCCTTGGAAACTTTATACCGACTTGACAGCACTTTAACAACAATCTGCAGATAAGATAAACCCAGCCACAGTCCTTACCTTCCCGAAGAAGTCACAAGTGGAGCTGGCCCAAGGGCTTGAGTTTTATAAGCAAACACTTAAAGATCATACTTTCAGTACAGGTTCTAACTCAGAGGAGCTCAATCCAGACTGCATCCCAGAATCACTTAGAGTGTTGTTGTTATGTGCCGTAGTGTCAGTTCTGACTCATAGCGACCCTGTTCAGGGTTTCCGAGGCTGTAAATCTTTACGGGAGCACAAAGCCTCATCTTTCTCTTGCGGAACAGCTGGTAGTTTCGAACTACTAACCTTGCGGTTCACAGCCCAATTTGTAACCACTACACTACCAGAGCTCCTTAGAGTGAGTTTTCAGAAAATATGATTCCTGAATCCCATCCCTGACCAATTAAATGAGACTATCTAGGAGTGAGGTCTAGGCATTAATATTTTCAAAAGGCTCCCACTCCCCCTCATGATCCTATGCTCAACCAGGGTTGAG